GCCTTCTTCAAGGGTCTGCCCCAGGGCACCAAGGAGCTGCTGATGCAGGGTATTGCCGTCAACTCCACCGCCTTCGAGGGTCCCGACGAGTCGGGTCACATCGAGTTCATTGGCTCCAAGTCCGAGTGCGCCCTGCTGGGCTTTGCCAAGACATGCGGCCAGGACTACCGCTCGGTCCGCGCTGACAACAAGCCCGCCCGCGTGTATCCGTTCTCGTCCGAGAAGAAGACCATGACCACCATCATCCCGCTTGCCAACGGCCAGTTCCGCGTCCACGCCAAGGGCGCCTCGGAGATTGTCCTGCGCGCATGCTCCAAGTATGTCGACGAGAACGGAGATATGCATCCGCTCGACCAGGCGGCCCGCAACCAGGCCCTGCGCAACATCTCGATGATGGCCAACCATGCCCTGCGTACCTTTGCCCTGGCCTTTAAGGACATTTCCGACGACGAGCACCAGCTGCAGCGACGAGGACGCGCCGCTGTCCGACCTCATCTGGATCGGTGTCATGGGCATCCAGGACCCGCTGCGCCCAGGTGTCCGTCAGGCCGTCGCTGACTGCCACAAGGCCGGCGTCATTGTCCGCATGATCACTGGTGATAACATCGAGACTGCACGTGCCATTGCCCGCGATGCTGGCATCCTGACCAAGGGCGGCAAGGCCATCACCGGCCCGCAATGGCGCCAGCTGAGCCCCGAGGAGCAGCACGCTGTGCTCCCCCGTCTGCAGGTCATGGCGCGCTCGTCGCCCCTCGACAAGCAGATTATGGTTGAGCGCCTGCAGGAGCGCAACGAGGTCGTGGCTATGACTGGTGACGGCACCAACGACTCGCCGGCGCTCAAGCTGCCGACGTCGGCTTCTCGATGGGCATTGCCGGTACTGAGGTGGCCAAGGAAGCCTCCGATATCATCCTGATGGACGACGACTTCAAGTCGATTGTCAAGGCGCGCTGGGGCCGTGCGGTCAACGACAGCGTGCGCAAGTTCCTGCAGTTCCAGCTCACCGTCAACATCACTGCTGTGTTCCTGACCTTCATCTCATCCGTGTTCAGCGCCGACGGCCAGTCAGCCCTGACGGCCGTGCAGCTGCTCTGGGTCAACCTGATCATGGACACCCTGGCTGCCCTGGCCCTGGCCACTGAGGGCCCGACAGACGAGGTTCTGGACCGCCCGCCACAGCAGCGCAACTCGGCCCTGATCACCTTCGAGATGTGGCGCATGATCATCGGCCAGGCTATCTTCCAGGTCGCCATCAACCTGCTGCTGCTGAACTACGGCCACGAGATCTTCCATCTCAAGTACACCGACGCAGGCCTGGCGCAGCTGCGCACCATGGTCTTCAACTCGTTCGTGTTCCTGCAGGTCTTCAACCAGGTCAACTGCCGCCGCATTCAGCCCCACGAGTTCAACGTCTTTGCCAACATCCACAACGACACTGGCTTCCTGCTCGTTCAGGTCGTCGTCATTGGCGTCCAGTGGCTGATTGTCGAATTCGGTGGCATCGCCTTCTCCACCACCTCGCTGTCTGCTGAGCAGTGGCTCGGAACCCTGTTCATTGGCGTCCTGTCGCTGCCCGTCGGCTTCTTCCTGCGCACCCTGCCTGACTTTAGCGCCTGCTTCGGTCTCGAGAGCGCCGAGTCCCCCGCCCAGCAGCACCTGCCCGAGGTCTCGACCACCCGCATGCGCGTCGAGTCCTCGATCCGCGATGTCCAGCGGGCCGTCAGGTTCTTTGGCGCCATCCGCCACTCGCAGCAGCAGCGCAAGGGACAGACGAGGATGGCGTGAATTTCCTCCCCGACCTGCCCTCGCTGGGCCGCTCGTCCACCCTGCCGACCGAGGGCAACACTCCGTTCATCACCCAGCCTGTGAGCACCAGCAGCTCGTGGACCAGAGTGCGTACCGCTATCCATACTCCGGGGAACAGCAGCAAGGATAAGGATCTGGAAGACTAAGCTACGTACCATTCAGTGGGATCCCTTTCTCCCAAACATTCCCTCGTCTTACCTCTTTTAAACTCGTTCTTTCTTTCGGTTCTAACCACAAAAAAGTTCCATTGAACTCGTCCATGTTTCCGACATGTATGCGCAAGTGGTTCAGGCAGCTGCAATGGAATATGCTGTCGAATCGCCTGAGGACAACAAGCTTGTGCACTGGGCTATGATGCTGCCAAATACCTTCATGATAAGCACACTCAGCGCCTCAACGGACGTGCACACTGAGTTTGCATTTTGGTTGTACAAGAACGAGACATCCCTAAGGGGTATATTTGAATCTGCAGGCTTTGAACGCCAGCCAGCTGTCAGCTGCAATGCCAGCCAGTACCACTGCACCTACATGTGCATTCTTTTTGCAGGAATTGAACGCGGCTGTGACATGTACACATGGCATACTGGATACTCTATGCATGTTTATGTCCATCTAGGAGCTGCCCCAGCTAATATCCTCGTGAGTGCTCAAGGCACGATATGGCGTCTGAGGAATTACTCTGCTCATGTTGTGGCGGCTTGGATGTCTGCTGTTCGTGTGGACTGCTTGACATTTGTATCATCCTGCTGTCTACGTTTCACCCAGAGATAGCCATTGGTTTCTTTGATACTGATCATGCTGTAGGACCAATGGGTTTCTCCACATCGTCTGCATAACCTATTGACAATTACCAACAGAGGTGCTAGCTGAGGATGTCAGAATAGATGGGGTATCTCTTGCGCAATGCTGACTGTGCCGACATGGAGATAATGTACTGGGGTCTGGTGGGGTAGAATTGATACGAATCATCAGTGAACGAAAATGTGACGAGACCATGTTTAGCCGCTGGCTTTTGGAGAATATTTGAAGGATGCAAACATGCCGTTGCATTTATACCAAAAAGCCATCTGCCAGATATTTTGCCTGGTCTATTGCGAATGTCGATCACTGTGTTCTGAGGGTCCTCTGGTGTAAAAGACGCTGCACAATAAACGAGCATGCCTTTCAAAGGTTTGGACTGTGGATTCCAATAATGAACCTGAGGTCCTTTGTACAGAAATGATATGCCAAATATGGCATCTACTTGCCAGAAACAAGTACGAGTATGGTTAATATCCTTTCTAGTGTCCATTTCTGAGGCATATTCTTTTGGTTCCAGATTACTGTTGAGACAATGCAACTCATTGGAACTCTTTAGAAGCTGGTAACAGCAATAGGCTGATAAACAACAGTATCTATCCTACCCAGTACTATGCCTCGTCACCCCTCTACTATCCACAGATTCAGACTGGTCCGTATACCAGTATGGATGGACACTGTTAGGACCCACACCAGTCTAGAGCCATCAGAAAAGCCGATTATCCCTATCGTCCAGAGGAAGAATATGCTGCATTGGACTGCACTCGGAATGAGGTTCCATTTCCTTTGGCTTTGCAAAGGAAGCACACATAGACCGCACTCACTTATCGGAGTCCTTTGGCGAGTAGAAGCTGCCCAGAATCAGCTGCTTTGGTTAATTGCTACTAGCAGGATGGATTATCTATATACTCCTTGGAATCCCTCACGTGTGGTAACGACTATGATGCACAGTCATCGGTCTATGACACTTTGCTGATCGCCAAAGCATCTGTAGAGCTACTTTTCGCAATATTCGGCAACACCATGGTGTGTTCGGCAACAATACTGCTCCTGAACGACAAAAAGTCTACAGCTAGCTCTCATCCGCTATGAAGTCTTACAATATTTCTGCTGGTGATGTTGCATCACCAAAAAGAAAAATTAAAACGTGAGGGCTTTTCACAGGCAGATCCTGGACATCTTCCATGGCCTGCGGGATAGTATGTCGCTTTCGTATTAGGACATTGGCTTGTTCTTGAGCAAGCTGATCCCTGTTGTTGCAACGATTAGTAATTTGCTGCCATCTGCAGAATCACACCATTGGCACATGGCTCATTTTGTCAGCTCTAGAAAGCAAGTGGGATGCTAGAAACCAGATGGCAGCACGCTATTTATTCAAGTACTGGTATTTCACAATAGTATTCTACCAACCTTCAAACTATATGCAAAAGCGCCAACATTGAATTTGCAATACCGCACCATGTAAGTAGTAGCTATTCTGTATTCAAACTCCACCCTTAACATCAGGGCGAGACAGGAAAATGGTCTGCTAGCCAAGTCTAGATGACCAACATATCTTTTTGCAAAACTAGTGCTATGAAGAAGGAACAAAAGCCAACTAATCATTGAATTTCTTTCAACATAATGTGTGGAAAGGATAATATCCAAAATGGAAAGAGGCGAATCGCCCATTTGTGTTCAAACTAGTGTTTACCAGCGGGGATGGAGTTAGCTTTGTGTAAAGACATGGCCGATCATACACCCTTTACCACATGAGGATGTACCCAGGACAGCATATAAAAAGCAGACGCTGGCCATCGTTCTTGCAACTATCTGCAAACCACCACCTGTTCCAGCACCTATCCCACCACACAGCATCGCTTTGTTATTTTTCTCGCACTATGATAAGCCATAGATTACTGCAATCATCGGAACGAAATGGCGAAGTTGATGACCAAAATAGCCTGATGTCCGTCCTGATACTCGACGGTTTTAATTTCAACGAAACAGACATCACTGAACAGAGGGTTATCACACTTGATGACATCAACGAACTGGGTGCCGAGGATGATGAAAGAGGTAGTGCAGTGTATGGAGACAGCGCATATTCAGAGGACGAAGACATGGGTCGTTCGATGGATGAAAGTAGTGACGCCACCCAGTATTATGTTTCAGGCGAGGATTACGAGTCAGACCAGTCAGAGAAGGATCGAACCAAGAGGGATATGAATATGATAGTGCTCGACTCCGCAGGCTAGCAGATTCCCTCTTGATTCACAACACGCAGCAATATTATTATTGCACCGCTCCGGAGCACAGATGGCTAAGCGATAGCGATTTTGATGATAGACGGTGTTGTCGCTATTGTGACATGTCGCTTGTTTTCACCTGAGCATCGTAAATGGCTGAAGGGAGAATTGAAGAAGATGAATCGGATATGCGAGACTGCTATATCAGAAATCGTCGATGCCTGCCACTATGATGTCGACGCACTTCCAAGCGACTCCCACGTAGCTGCCAATGTCAAACCTTGGGAGAGAGAGCAGCTTAGAAAATTAGGTGAAAAGGTGAAAATGCTGTATGAGTCTGCGTATGATGAAGCTCGCGCAATTTTCATGATGCAGAAATATCATGAAAATGGAGACTACTGCAAGTTTTGTCAGTACGTGGCCCGAGCGCTCCTTTCGCCGCTGCACTATAGGAATTTCCTGGATAGAGAGACAATACTCAGAGTGCATGTTCTAACTCGCAAGCAGATAGTGCTCGAGAAGGTCGGCTATACGGAATGTCTCTATTCCCAAGTGCATCAGCGTGTTTATAACTTGCATCCCAACATAAGTGCATTCAACCGAGACAATTCCAAGATAAGGAAGGTGCTTGAACCCCTCATACAGTAGCAAGGCCATATGCCAATTGACGCCCATCCCTGTTTTACGATAAACTTTGAAGGTGTTATTATGTTTGGGTCAGCTTGATTAAACCTCATATACTGCTTGACAACTAACTATCTGTGGCTCACATATCCGGTTTGGCATGCTTACAAACTGCGTTATTAAGGCAGCTCTAACTACTGTTGCGGTGATGGGCTGACAAGCCAAACCAAACCGAGCCAGCTACAGATAGACTCAGTCTGGCCTTTGTAGCGCCCCAGTGGTCCGCGTTCAATACTGGCAAGTAATGTTTTCTATAGAACTCTTCAAACTCGACTCCCTGAGTATGAAAAGAAGGGAACCCACAGGCCTCCCATTGAATTCCCTATCGAATAGTATATTCTCGTATTTTGATAACATTCTAACTCGTCTCCCACTACCGGTCTCAGCCCCTCTCTACAACATTAGAATGGCCAGCACTACCAAAAAATATATATTACAGATTTTGCTATGTACCTGGTATTGACAATAGTGGTCCATATGATAATGCCTTTGGTATAATCACCATGTACCTCATAGAATATGTCCACGTTATGTGTTCCTAGCCATCAGCACCATGTATCCGTTATCGGATTCGCATACCAGCAGTCCTCAGCTAGACTGCTACAGGCATAGCTGGTATCCTCAGCAACTTCCCTGGTACAACGCCTTCAATATATTTATCAAACTCTTCTCACAGTCGAGGAGCCATGCAAATGATTGTTGAGTGAGTTGAGCAAGTGGATCTATCAGCAGCTGTGTACATTGTAAAAAGGTGCTCATTCGCCATTCTTCCTGAGGGAAAGGCTATGACAATAAGGTGTCGTAATGTGGTGTCTAGTGTGCACAGCACCTTTTTGCACTTGCTCTTGTCTAATAGTAACATGACGCTTCTCTTCATAAATATTAACTTTGTCCCAACACTAGGATTATCAATAACATCGGCAGTATGCATTATAGGTGCCATTAGAAAGACATTTATCTAAACGATATGACAAGCAATACCAGTTTTTGGTATTAGTGCGCCCTGCTTCAATGCTGCAGCCAGAGCACCATTCCGACACTGACGAGAGCCCTGGCCACGGGTACCTGAGGGAGCATTGTGGCAGCCAAGGTCACCGAGTACAACGGGGCTCTTTGGAAAGGGAATTCACTCATGGCATTGGTCCGCTGGGGAATTCAGAGCACATGAAAAGTGCGGTTGCACTCAGGGGTAAGGGTCCGGAGTCGACAGCAGTGCTCTTTAGGCCCATGTTATCTTTTGTTTGTTTTCTCTTTATTTTTATTTTTTCGCCATAACTGTACCCTGAAATGGGGAAGCGTAGTTTGCCCTGCAAGCCCACAACGATTCGGCTCAGAAAGGTGGGTACTTCTTTGCGTCATTACAGGCCTCCTCTCTGCTTTATAATTCCCCTGACAATGTCTCGATTGTCCCTAAAGAACCCGCTGCTGACGCCCAGCCAGATTCTGCAGTCGCCGTCGCAGGAGCGTGGGATGACGCGGGAGCTGGAGTCAGACATGCGCGCTTACGGGTGCCACCTGATCGAGTCCTCTGGTATAGTCCTACGGGTTCCTCAGGTTGTCATGGCCAGCGCACAGATCATGTTTCAAAGATTCTACTACTTGGCGTCATTCACAGAGTTCTCGTTGCGCAGCACCGTGCTCGGCGCGTTGTTTTTGGCCTGCAAAGTCGAGGAGAATCCGCAGACTGTGCGCAATATCATCAATGTAGTCGATATTATTATCAAGCGTGACCGTGGGTACCCAGAGATCGTGACTGATGGATACGACAGCGAGTACTACGATCTGAAGAACGAGATGATTATTGGCGAAATGCAGGTGTTGCGCATGCTCGGGTTCAACGTGCAGGTCGAACTGCCATACGGACTGCTGGTAAATTATATGCAAAGCCTCGATCTCAGTAGCCACCCTAGAGTCCCACAGCTAGCGTGGAACTACCTCAACGACCTTTTGAGAACGCCGATATACGTGTGCTTCCAACCCGACACAATTGCCTGCGGCGCGATATACATGGCAGCATATGAATGTAATCTACAGCTTCCCATGTCGCCGCCATGGTGGATTATTTTCGATGCCAACGGCGAGGATGTGGTTCAGGTTGCAAAAACTATAAAGGCGCTGTACCAGCGCAGTTTGCCGCGTGTGATGCCGCTCACAGTAGATGAACTAAAAATCTGCATCCAAGGCACGCTGGAGCACCATGTGGCAGGTATCAGGAAGCGGCGACACGAGCGGCATGATGAGATGAGCCAGCCGCAGACAGATGTAGAGATTGCGAGCGCGAAGTCGCTGCCTAAGGAGGTAGCAAAGAACACATATAGCAGCAGGAAACGGACAACACCGCCGCGGTCTCGCTCTCGGTCGCGATATGCGAAAAGGTACAGATCCCGGTCTAGATCCCGGTCCCGGTCTCGTTCGCGGTCTCGCCGCAGTCGGTCCAGGAGAAGACGATCGCCATCTTCACCACGGTATGGCAGCAGGGACTACAGCCGGGATGGGCATCGGAGCAGGGACCGCCGTAGAGCCCGAGAGTACGACAACGACAATGAGAATGGCTATAGATCGCGCCACCGCAATGAACGGCATGGGCGTGGCTACAACACGCAGCGTCGGCACTACTGAGTCTTTTATTAGCTTAGAATTGAGATACTCTGATTTTCCTTAGCGAAGCGTGATACCCAGGCGCTGGACCATCTGGCCTCTGACGCGCTCCTGGATCTCGTTGATCTCCTCATGCGTGACATTGCGGTCCATAGAACAGTAGTTGATGCGGTAGCAGCGGCTGGATTTGCCAGTTTTCGGATGCGTGAACTCGTCGACAAGTTTGACACCCTCGGCCAGATCGCCAGCGATATCCCGAATCAGATCCATGAGGTCGTTCTCATGGAATTCGCCGCCCTGAGGCAGCCAGAAGCTGACGTCCTTTGGGCACGGCGGATGCCGCGAGAACGACTTGAACGTGTTGATCTGGCCAGGCGCGAACTGGTCGGTGAAGCGAGGGTCAGTGCTCCAGAACAGGCGAATGTCGGGCACGCCAAACAGCAGCATCGCCAGACGCTCGAGACCAAACCCGAATGCCCAGCCTACACGGTCGGTCATCCCAGCGTCACTCAGGATCTTCTGCTTCATGATGCCGCAGCCGCAGATTTCCAGCCATTCGCCTTGGAACAGCACCTCCATCTCCCAGCTGGGGCTAGTGAATGGGAAGGTCGCGTCTATCCAGCGCACTGGGAACTCAGTCTGCGTGTTGTCGGCATTGCCTGCAGTCCTTTTGGCGGCGACGGCCTTGGTCAGAATCTGCACAACCATGTTGTTCATTGTCTGCTTCATGTCCTCTACAAGGAAGGCGACCTCCTCGTCGGTATGCTCGGGCTGCTTTGGGTTTTCGCTACTAATAACAGTTGTGTCTGAGACCTGGGCCGCGGAGCTGGTCGAGGAATTGGGCGATGACGCAGCGGCCTTGATCTTTTGGATCTCAGCACGCGAGAACGTGCAGACGCCCTCCATCTGGTGGAACACCGGGTAGTGGCTGGCGTCAATCTCGTCGCGGCGATACACATCGGCAGCGACCAGGAACCGCTCGTTCATGGGCGCTGCGCTGCCATTCCTTGCATGGTCCAACAGGCTCCTGTCGCCTTGCTTTCCGGCCTTCAGCAGCTGGAGCTGGTGAGCCGATGTGTGCGTACGAAGCAGCATGTTTTCGTTAATGTAGTACGTGTCGGAGCGCGACCTGCCGATGTGGTCTTGGGCGAACCCCAGCGAGTCAAAGTTGTTGTACGTTGACACGTCCGGGGTAATCGCATCGTAGTGAGCAAAGGTCGGGAACTCCTTAAAGATCAGCTCCTTCAAGATCGCCAGCGGGTGCGCCGGCTGGTGCAGGAGATTGCGCCCAGTCTTGTCGAGAATCGTGGGCGTTACATTTGTCCAGTTGTCGGCAGCATAGGTGGATCCGAGGATCTGCAGTTTGCTGGGCTCGCTGGCGGCATTGCGTAGAGCGCGGGTGGTAGAGAGCGACGCGCGCTGGATCGAGAGCGAGGGTTTCGCGGGCTGAAAATGGGCATGGGCCACCACGCGTGACACGTAGGTTCTGCCCGAATTCAGCATGCAACGCTGCAGCAGTCTGGCGCTGACTGCCTTTTGTCTGATCTGCGATAGCATGGGTGAAACGGCTAATAGCGAAAGGAGGCTGCGAAGCTGAGAAGCAAGCAGCAGGCGCATGAGGCGAAAGGGCTGTGTGATTACGGCAAACTCGGCCTCCAAGCCCCGATAGAATCTTGATCACAATCGCACCCCAATCATCGATCTCTAATCAATGCTAGGAGCCTTGTCTACAGCAGCCAGGCAGTGCCACTGTCGACGGAGCTCCCTCTCCCTTCGCAGCTACTACTATCGAGTATTTTCTGTTCATATATTTTGGAACAATGCAATTGGCACTACCCGGGGTATTTGGCAATGGGCCGCGGAGCATGGTGCTAGCAGCATCGGTTAGCGCAGTGTCGCTGGTTGCCTGCGCGCTCATGCTGGCAGCAGCTAGCAGCGGACCAAAGGCACAGTCGCGCAAGGGCAAGGGCGACCGCAAGAAGCGGACCAAAGGCAGGTGCACCAGAGCCACTCCGGAAGAATGCACGTAGCGGCACATGCTAATGATATCGAGACTCTGTAGTGTACCTGCGCGGGCTATACAACCTGGGGAACACCTGCTTCCTTAATTCCACGCTACAGGTATGCCCAACCCCCTCTCCGCACATTCTCCTGGACAATCCAATTTCCAGGAAGCACTGGTGTCCTGCTACTGCGCCCTCGTGTGCACTAACGAGATTTGCACACACCCTCTTTTGTAGTCGCTGGCGTCGCTGCGCGAGTTTGAGCTGTACCTAGACAACTGCCTGGAATTTTTGGCCGAGGATGGCGTGGTGCGCAGTAATTCGGTTGATAAGGCGATATGCGCGCAGCTGAAGCTTGTGATGGATGAGCTTGCGCCTCAGCAGAGGCGGGTTAAGGCGCTTTCGCCACGAATGCTAATAAGCAGTTTGAGTCAGAAGGGCAGGTGGGTGTCGAGCATGGGAGAGCAGGACGCGCAGGAGCTGTTTCAGATGATTTCGAGCACGCTGCAGTCGTCGAGGCGCGAGTCTGATGCATCTATATTCAACTCGGGATTCCTTACAAAGGTAAGAAAGGGCCTTGGTAGCTGTGTGTGGGCTCCCTTTGACATAGCTGTGGACTAACACCCGTGTCCTTTAGAGCGAGCCGATGAAGAGTAGCGTGATTTCGATACCCAGCAGCGACGGTAAATCAGAAGGGCCACGTACAGCAACTCCGGGGAGCCAGGTCGAGACGAGTTACTCGGGCAGCACAGCGACCTGCCGTATGCCGCCATTCTCCAATCCCTTGCTAGGCATGGCCGCCAGCCGCATCGCCTGTGTCAAGTGCGGATATACAGCAGCCATCCGGCATTTCACATTCGACAACCTGTCGCTAGCCGTGCCGAGGGCCAGCACGACTACCATTGAGGCGTGCCTGGGCATGTACACTGTAATTGACCGGCTCGACGATTTCAAGTGCCGACACTGCACATTGACAGCGACCCTACACAAAATCAAACAAGATATTGCGCACCACCAAGCTGAGCTGGCAAACACGGAGAGCGAGTCAAAACGGGCAAAACGGCACATTGCGGCTATCAGCAGGCTCAGCGACCAGCAGGACGAGGTCGCAAAGGCACTGGCGACTAACCCGGAGACCAACCTCAAGGGCATCGAGCTGGTGTCGCCGCCCCCTGGCGTGTCAACAAAGCAGACAATGATTGCACGGACGCCCAAGATCCTGGTTCTGCATCTGTCGAGATCGATATTCACGCCCAGTGGCGATATGATCAAGAACCCGGCACGTGTGCGGCTGCAGCTCCTGCTCGACATCTCGCCGTTCACAACCACAGGGCATATCAACACCAACGCATCAGCGCCGATTTCTGGCCCGCAGCCGCTGAGTTCTGCGTCGAAGGCGGAGGCCAAGCGCAACAACTGCCTGTACCGGCTGTCGGCCGTCGTAGTCCACGCTGGATCGCACCACTCGGGCCATTTTTATGCGTACCGACGGGTGGCAGGTGAAGACGAGAAGATGGAGGCGCCAGGAAAGTGGTTCTGCATATCAGACCATACTGTGGCGGCTGTGTCGCTCGACCATGTGCTGGCCTCTGGCGACGCCTACATGCTGTTCTATGAGCGCCTTTAGGTCTTCTTTTTTGAGCGCCCGCAGGCATCTGGCGTGCTAGTGCGTAGTCTCATCGGAATCACGTGGATTAGATTTTCGGCTGTGCCCAATGGCCGGCGGATTTGGGCTGGCCACGTAATTACCCTGTCTGCTTGCGCGTCCCGGCGTGTTTCCAGTATCCAAGCCCGTCCTGCTAATTCGCCAGCACCTTTTTCCTGCGCCCTCTTCTGCTCAGCTCTTCAATTTACATATCTTTGTTTTCTCCACCGCAATCAGAATTATAGCCAACACTTCAACATGGGTGACATGGACGCTTACAGCTTCTCGCTTACGACATTTGCGCCAAATGGTAAGCTTCTTCAGATTGAGCATGCGCTGGCAGCGGTCGGCAATGGCTCAACGAGCGTCGGCATCAAGGCAGCCAACGGCGTGGTGATTGCGACAGAGAAGAAGGCAGGGTCGTCACTGATCGAGGTGTCGACGCTGGAGTATGTGGTCAAGGTCTGCGACACCATCGGCATGGTGTACTCTGGCATGGGCCCCGACTTCCGTGTTCTCGTGAACGCAGCGCGCAAGTCAGCGCAAAAGTACCGTCGGATCTACATGGAGGACCCGCCCGTGCGTATCCTGGTGAAGGAGCTGGCGAGCATCATGCAGGAGTTTACGCAGTCGGGAGGAGTGCGGCCGTTCGGCGTCTCGCTGCTGCTGGCGGGCGTGGACGAGCGCGGGCCGAGCCTGTACCAGGTGGACCCTTCGGGATCTTACTTCCCGTGGAAGGCGACGGCAATTGGCAAGAACATGATTAACGCCAAGACGTTCCTGGAGAAGCGGTTCAACGGCGACATGGAGCTTGAAGATGCTGTGCACACAGCAATTTTGACTCTGAAGGAGGGGTTCGAGGGCCAGATGACTGAGACGTCGATTGATGTCGGCATTATTGGCGGCCTTGGTGTCGAGGGCGGGGCAAAGCCGACGTTCCAGTGCCTGTCACCGGCCGAGATCAAGGACTACCTGTCCAACATTGCCTGATATGCTGGCGCGTGCAATGTTCTCTCCTGCTAGGCACGCCATCACTCTTCTCTTGGACAATTTTCTGAATACAAAATGCTTTTTTTTTTTCCACAATAGCACTGAGGCGGCTTCTGCCGATACTGGTACGCAATTTATAGAGGGTGAGATCTAGAGTAGAAAGGACACACGGCTTAGTTGCCGTTCGGATCGAGCACGACGCCAACCTGGGCGGGCCGGAGAACGCGGCCCTTGATGATGTATCCGCGCTTCTCGACGCTGAACACAGTGCCCGGCTCCTTGCCCGGCATGGGCACCTGGTACAGCGCATGACTGGTGTTCGGGTCATAGACCTTGTCGATCGGGTCAAAAGACTCGACGCCGTGGCGCTCCAGGGTCTTGAGCAGGTTGCCCATGGTCATATCGACGCCCTCGAACAGGTCGTTGAGCGACTTGTGGTTGGTCTTGTCGGACAGGTGCTCCTTCGGCACGTGCTTCAGCGCCAGCTCCAGGATATCGACGGTATCCAGCAGGTCCTTTGCGAACTTCTGGATCGCAAACACCTTCATGTTGTCGAGCTCGGTTTTGCTGCGTGTGCGCAGGTTCTCGGTGTCTGCCAGCGACCGCAGGTACGCGTCCTTGAGCTCCTTGATCTTCGCGTCTTTCTCCTCCACCTGCTTCTGCAGCTTGGCGAACTCCTCGGCGCTCACTGCCTTAGCCTCTCCAGCCTTGGCCTCCTCAGCCTTGGGCGACGCCTCGTTTGCGGGCTTGTCGGAGTACTGGCGGCGCGCGAATGCGGCAGATCTGACGGCGGGAAGGCGGGTCATTACTGACGGCGACCGATAGACTTGGGACAGGGCAGTACGGAACATGATCTGTATATTTTTATGACTGGCTTGTAGCTGAGAGTAATTACAAAAAGAAACGGCTGACTAGAGAAGAAGAAGAAGAAGAAGATAAAGATGAGCCAATTGTAGCAATCTGGCCCTTCTCGCCCATTTAAGGGGCGTGCTGGATCGGTGGATGCTTACGCTCATTTTTCCATGACTGTAAAAGTTGACCCAAATCCACTCGGCTTTTCCTGTGATTGCTAAATCTGACAGCGACCAACACGCAGAAACACACCCGCTGGTTTTCTACCACCATTCCCTTTATTTCAGCACATACATGTCTTCCCGTAGTCAGTACAGAGATAGAAGCAGAGACAGGGGCAGGGGCAGAGATAGGTCCCGCGATCGGTCGCGCAGAGACCGTGCATATAGCCCACCACCGCTGGACAAAAACCAGGAAGACAGGCACTACCGGTCACGCTCTCCGCGCTCGCATCGCAGCCGACGCCGGTCGCCACTCCCACCTCCCCCCACATTCGACGACAGCCGGCGGCCACGGCACGGTGGCGGCCGCAGTCACCACCCTGATCCTGCATACCTGGAAGAACGCCGCCGACAGCGCGAAGAAATCGAATTCAGCATCTGGCCGCCATCACCAACCGCATCGCAAGACGAAGAAGATAGGGCTGCCGAGGAGCGTGTGATTGCGCGCAAGCAGGGGAAGTACGAGGAAGTGGATAGCGACATTACGGAGTCAGAGTTGAGCGAGGCGGAGAGCGAAAAGAAGAGCAGGAAGCACAGGTCTAGTAGATCGAAGCACCGCCGGTCAAGGAAGCACAAAAGCTCGTCGAGACGACGCCGCAGAAGCTACTCGGACTACAGCGATGAGTATTCAGACTACTCAGGCTATTCGTCAGACAACCAGCGGACCAAATCGCCGCACAGATCGAAGGATGCGCGTAAATCGAGGTTGCCGAGCAAGTCGCCTGAACCAGCACCCGCGGCGGACATTGCACCGCAGGAGGGGGATTCTTCTGACGACGGAATCGGGCCAATGCCGACAGATGAGCGTGTTCCTGAGCTTACTGAGCGCAGCTTTGGTGGTGCGCTGTTGCCAGGCGAAGGCTCGGCGATGGCGGCGTTTGTACAGTCGGGGGAGCGGATCCCGCGCCGCGGCGAAATCGGCATGGACCCGAATCTGATCGAGCGTCTAGAAAAGTCTGGTTACGTGATGAGCGGAAGCCGCCACCACCGCATGAAACGCTGTGCGCGTGCGCAAGGAGAACCAGATTATCAGCGCCGAGGAGAAGCGCCAGCTACTGCTGTTCAACCAAGAGGAGCGCAAGAAGAAGGAAGCGCAGCTGATTGCGGATTATAAGGAGATGCTGGAAAAGAAGAAGTAGACAAGCTTTGGAGAACTTCTCTGCAAGAGCAGCCTCTATTTCAGGCTACTACAGTCGCTACTCTCGCGGCCAGATACGCAAATATATTGTGGTGGCTCCTGCTGCAATTAATTGCTGGTTATTTGTACCCTCATAGCCCTGAGCAGTTTTGCGGGTATACAGCCTTGTTCCATCAATAAATGTCGCACTCGGTCTTCGTCTTCGGCTACAGATCCGTCAAGGACACCTCAGTCCAGTTTCTCTCCCATCAACACACTCACGCACTTGTTCATATCGCTATATAGAACACGCCAGATGTTGGCCAAGGTTGCTACCTCAGTCCTCTGCTATGCCGCCATTGCCAGTGCTCAGCACCGTTGGAATGGACTAGCAGGCGTCACCACTAAGACTCCATCGATAGAGCCAG